GGGTGGTGGGGAGGGGGTACGGTCGCTCTTCTTCTCTTATCTCGCACTTTAACAAAAAGCCTCTGATGAAGACAACGGGCGCTCTTCTCCCTCYCGCTCCCCCCCCACTCATTTATCTCTGCGCTCCCCCTCTGTTTAGCTGTCAGGGAGCAAGTTGAACATGGCAGCTCTGACACTTTTCACGTAGTGCTTTGTTGTGTCTGCTCTCACATGCATCTCCGTGAGTGACTGCAGCGTTTGTGAGTAAGAGATGACGCGTGTGCCTACGTGCTGTGCCCCCCAACACCTCCCCTGCGCTTCTTTCAGCAACTTCCTGCCGCAGGGAGCAGGAAGGTCACTGTAATTMCATGTGGCATCAACATGCATGGAAACATGTAAACCCACACCTCAGCTTGTGTGCAACTTTGTAGTCTTTTTTTTTTTTACCTCTCAGGCTTATTGTCTCCAACTCCAGCGCCGTAGCTGGAGTGGCTCTTCTTGTCATGCGGAGGAAATGGGTGAACAGCCTCTCTAATTACACTTCACCCACTGACACTAATTTACATACAAACACAATTGCACTCCAATCTAATCTTTCATTATCTCTGGATTCCATTCTGCAGAGCATGATATTTCGGCTGTTATGTTTCATTCAAGCTTTTTTTTTTTTTTGCTTCTCTCCACACTGCTGCTTAGTCATTGCACTAAGTGCGAGACGCAAACAGGAGTGTTTCAGCTGATAGTATGACCCACGAAAATGTTAAATTTAGCAAACTAAGCAGGAAGATGAGAGGTAATACCATTATTATACTACTATAACCTGTGTTTATTCTTCTCAGAGTTCTTCATGCATTGAATGTGCAGCATGCAAAAGTTTGGGCACCAAAATTTCATCCTTTTTTTTTTCTTTACCTGCTTGTACAACTCATGAAATGTGTAAATGCCTATTTATATGTGTTTGTTTGTGTTTGTTTGCAAAATTTCTTGTTAACAAATAATAGGATTTTTATGAAACTTTCAGATGAACATCTACAACTAATTAACGTTTGGAGTGGACCCAATTGAAGGTGGCCACAGTTGAATGACCACTAGGAACACAATCAGTTTTATAGATGCTGGGCTAACATATGTTGTGGTAGTAGCTGAGTATTGTCTGTCTGTTAGCAAAATATATCATAAACAACTGGATTGATTTTAACGACACTCTCAGAAATTAACTAATATGATTAACTTTTTGGAATCAACACAACAAAAAATGGCCGCCACAGCTAATTGACATAGGCAAACACGTAATGGCTGACCTGCTGTCAGCTTTTTGAATGCTAAACTAAATTTTGGTGTGGTAGCTGAAGCTCTGGCATATTCTCAGACTAACAGATGATCTTCTAACAGATTTTGCATGAGACTGTGAGAATGTCATTTCCAAGCATTGATAATACTGTTATATTTCCATCTGTTCTTTTCACAAGATCTTTAGCGCTTAATATTATGTTGAGAAAAGATAGGCCTTTAATGAGTTGTAACTGTTACAAGTTTGTCTCTTTGCTTTTAACAGTATTGGGTATAGAAAAGAAAATATGTCTGTTTGCAAAAGCTTTAACACCTTGAGAAATATGAGCTCTGAAATAACTTTTTTATAAAGGTCTCAGACCTTAATTACGTTTTAAAGGTTATGACTCATTTGGAGTCATTCAATCCAGGTGGGGGAAAAAACTGTTTAAGGCTTTATAAATAAATAATGCTTTGAGTCCACAAACTTTTAACAGCCTTTCTCTCAGACAATCAAACGAGTTGATGCCCACAAAGAGACAAAAGCTAAATAAAAAAGTGTTTCAAGGCAGCCGGTTAGTGGTTTGAATACATAACAAAAATTGGCAAAAATAAAGCTGCCAGTTGAATTGCTGCAAAATGTCACCTCCTTTTGTCTTTATCATAGTGGAGCCGTGTCAAACAGCAAACAAATCAATGTCTGTCATACTGTCGCATTTTTAGCTCCAGCATTTGGGAGGCGGTTAAAAACACTTTTGAGTCTTATGAGAAACCACAAATTCACTTTTTTTTCTTCCGATCGAAAATATGCAGAAAGTTTTTAACGTCACTGTGAGCAATGACAATTTCTGAATTAGCCAAGAATCTCTTACAGTAAAGATAAATAAATATTTCTGTTTGCAGAAAACCTTTAGAGAAAGGTAGGGACATGAACTCTACGCCACTGACCTTTTCTAAATCACCACAAAAAGTCTGAATTTCAGTGATGAACTTTCTAAACAAGCTTGATGCAGTTTGGAAAAAGAACATCTTTCTCGTAATCTTCTGTGACTTATCCGTGGTCGAGGAGAGAAACCCTGACATCCCTCTCTCCAGAGACACTTTCCAACTCATCCTGGGGGATGAGGTGTTCAAGTCATCAGAGAGGATGCATATAATCTAAGTCCTGGGTCTTCCTCGGAGCCTCCTACCAGTGGGACATGCCTGAAACTCCTCTAAAGGGTAGTGTCCAGGAGACAGATGCCTGAACCACCTCAACCACTGCTTTTGATGCAGAGGAGCAGCGACTTTACTTCAAGCTCCTTAACAGTTCTTTAAGGCTGAACCTGGTCACCTTAAGAAGGAAGTTTGTTTCGGCAGCTTGTATCCAGTAGGCC